TGTTTTAGCACTTTTAGCTTGCCTGATTTTATCTTTTTCAGTACCATCTCTTGCCTATGGGAAGAAAACAACATGGCCACCACTTAGAGTAGGTTTCTACAGATATAGATGTCCTCCTGCTGAAGAAATTGTGAAAAATGTTGTATACAAAGCCGTATCGCGTAATCCAGGCATTGCTGCTGGCCTTATCAGGCTACATTTTCACGACTGCTTCGTCAGGGTAATTTTTCAGTTTATGAGTTCTGAATTCTAGAAAAGGCAGTTTACTGGATTCTGGATAAGTTATTTATGCATATATGGACACAGAGTTTTGGCCAAAATTACTGGAATCTACCGAACATGTAGCTAGAACTCTGATTATCTGTGCTGATTTAATTACCAATATGCGTATGCTGGTGTTTATATTTTCGTTTGATAATTGCACTACCTTATAATTGTGTGTTGTTTATGTAATTAGGGGTGTGATGCATCAGTACTATTGGATGGACCAAACTCAGAGAAGGAAGGTGTTCCCAACAAGAATAGTTTACGAGGTTTCGAGGTTGTTGATGCAGCAAAAGCACAACTTGAGGATGCATGCCCCGGAACTGTATCCTGTGCTGACATTCTTGCCTTTGCTGCTCGGGACAGTTCCTATAAAGTTGGGAATATATACTATGATGTCGAAGCTGGACGTCGTGATGGTAGAGTTTCCATTGACTCTGAAACATTGGCCAATCTTCCTTCTCCATTTGTCGACGCCAAGGAACTCATCAAGAACTTTGCCAGAAAAGGTATGTCCGCTGATGAAATGGTGACCCTATCTGGCGCGCATTCCATTGGCATTGCTCACTGCGCTGTTTTCGCTAATCGCCTTTACCCTCAAAACAACCAACAAAATCTGCCAATTGATCCTGAATACGCCAACTTCTTGAAGTCCATTTGCCCACCAGAGGCACTCACAAACGGGACAGGAGTCACGAACCCTGCAAATCTTGATGTCCTGACACCAAACAGGTTGGATAACAAATACTACGCTGCGTTAAAGAGTAAAAAGGGGCTGTTGATTTCTGATCAGGGGTTGCTGGCCAATCCTACAACTGCTAAAATGGTGAACTTCAATGCAAGATATGGTTCAGTTTGGGC